CTCTAGCCCGGGCAACACAGTGAGACTCTATCTCAAAAAAAAAAAAAAAAAGTGCTAATTATGGCCCATATAAGACCACATACATACTAAAGAGAAAAAGCCACCTTTTCTCTATATCACCAGAAAAGTTGGGCCTAATTAAGAATCCTGTTAAAAGTGTGGTCATTTAAACTAAGTATCTTTACTGTAAATGATTTGTGATTTTGAGCTTCCTTTGTTCAGGTGATCAAGTTGATTGCAACATGGGCACCTTTGCCACATGATAAAAATATTCCCTAGGCTTTCGCCCAAGAGGTTTGGACCTAGTCCTAATAATTACCTTTATTTAAATGCTCAGTAGTTAATGCATACTGCTTCTACAGGCATGACATCGTCATCATTAACATTAAAGATTTTAGAAATGACTATTGTCAAATAGATGATCAGACAGGCTTGAGACTATCTCTTGCTTTGAGACCACATATTACAGAATGTCTAGGAGGTGAACCGCTACATCCTGGATAAACAGCGATACCTAACCCAGGGAACAAGCAGCTTGGAGGAGAACAGAAAATACAGAGCATCAGTGTTAGCATGATGGAAAGGGGGAATGTTTTTTATCCTGTAATATGTGCTATGGCTCCTTGTGACAGTGGCAGTTTTGTGTTGTCAACATCCCCTACATAAAAGTGTCAGATGTACCTTTGGAGGTGAAAGCAAAGAACAGGTTGGGGCAGGTGTAATCCTATGAATAGCCATGCCCATGACCATAAGATGAACTCTTCACTGCTTTTAACATCATTTGCAAAGTTTCTAGGAACTTACATTTTATAAAATTTCCACCTGTTTTACTGTATTCTTTTCATGTCTGTATTTATCTTCCTGTATATGTTGAAAAAAATCCAAGAATAATTATGCTTGTGGACAAGGATAAATATGCATTTAAGGCAACCAACACCAGTTAGATATCCTAATTAGTGTGACAAGAGACCTGGTGGGCAAACAGGGATTTGATAAGTCTGCTAATTACAACAACTTCTACAAACAGTTTCCATGCCGTAGCGTGGCAGTGTGCAAAGGTGCTCGTCCATGAAAGTGTATAAACACCACATAATTTTCTCACACTCTGCAGCTATTCAATACTGCAAGAGGCTCTGAGTCTGACTTAGAGCGAAGTCCCTTGGAGAGCGAATGTGCTGCCGTGGGCTGGTCTAGCTACATGGCTGGATGCCAGAAGTAGAAGGGCTTTTTGGAAGCTTCCTCAGACCTTCACTCTTCCCCTTCTCTTTCCACGTTAACAGTGCAATCTTAACGGCTGACTCCACTAAGTTGGCCATCCCAGCCATGCACCCAGCACTGCCCACATTATTTCACATAACACAACTCTGTGAAGCTAGTAATGGAGATGAGGAAGCTGTGGCCCACAGTGGTTAAGTGACTTGCAGAAGGTCACACAGCCAGGACATGTGAGAGCCAAAATCCAAACCTGGACTTAGCTGAATCCAAAGTCCATGCTCTTTTTCTCTGCTTTTCACCAACTACCAATTACAGGGATAGACACCTTAAAGGGCTCATAGACCTGTATGTATAGATTTGTAGATATATCTGAGCTGTTTTTACTCACAACACTTCTGACACCAGAAGTGTTGGGTGAGGGTTTTTCCCTCCACCCAAAAATCAATTCTCTAATGCTCTGGACACCAGCTGGGTATCCTTCAATTCAGTTCTGACACTAACTGCTTGGAGTTAGCACAGACCCCACAGGTTAGGGGCTCAGTCTCACAAGACTGCCCCAACTTCAGATGCCAGTTGCAAGTCCCAGATTTCCACCTGAACTCTGACTAGCCAGCTATAAATCAGGGGCTTCCCATGAAGAGGATCAGAATATGCCACCCAAAACATGCGACTTTGGCATATTGATTATTTTGAGCTGAAGGCCCTTGAGAAACAGCAGGTGCAGGAAAGGCTCTCTGACCCACCACTTTCTACCTTAAAGCAGGGCACAAATTTCCCATGAGAAAGATGACCTCCCTGTACCAGGAAGAGGAGACCATTCTTACCACCAGAAATGGGGAGCTGAAGCTGAGATGAAAACTGTGCAAACTTACTAAAATCACCCTTATCTTCCGTTAGTTTCCCCTGGATATTTCCTAGTCACTTACCCACAGTTTACTGCCCAGACCCTTTGCCTTTGTCTTGTCACAGCTCTGCAATCTATTGTTCTTTGCTGAAATGCTGTATAAGCTCCCAGGCCCTTCTGCTTCTCTTTTATGAAGGTTTCCATGCCATGTAAAAATGTTAACATCAAATAAAGTGTGTATGCTTTTCTCCTGTTAATCTGCCTTTTGTCAGTTTCATCCTCAGGCCCAGCCACAGAACCTAAGAGGATAGGGGGAAAGTCTTTCTTCTCTATACCACAAACCCTTCCTTACATTCAACAATTTGCAAGAACAGCTCACAGAACTCAGCGAAGTGCTTTATTTACCATTACCAGTTTGTTGTAAAGAATATAGCTCAGGTAACAGCCACAGGGAAGAGATGCCTAGGGCACCATGTCAGGGGCGGGGTGCAGAGACTCAAGGCCCTCCCTGGTGCACCACCCTCCCAGCACCTTGATGTGTTCACCAACCTGGGAGCTCTCCCAATCCCGTAGTTTAAGAGTTTTTGTGGAGGTTTCGTTAGTTGGTAGATTGATTAAATCATTAATCGTTGGTGATTGGCTCAATCTCCAGCAGGGAGGATTGAAAGTTCTAACTCTAATCACATGGGTGTTTTCTCTGGCAACCAGTCCCCATCCTGAAGCTATCCAGGGGCCCACCAAGTGTCACCTCATTAGCATAAACTAAATAAATCGAAAATAGCTTGTTATGAATAACAAACAATGTTCCTATCACCCCTGTCACTCAGGAAATTATAAGGATTTTAGAAGCTCTGTGTCAGGAACCAGGAACAAAGGATATATTTCTTATTGTATTACTGTATACATATATATTAATGTATAAAAATAAGACTGAAAATCAACAGTGTATTACTCAACTATATATTATCTTCTATTTTTATCCATTTGTCCTTGGACTTTTCAAACTTGTTCACAGGAAAAGCTTAGAAAAAGCCCAAACCATGGACCTTGGACCATGGAGGCAGGCAGTACTGGTAGAGCCAGGTGGGTGCCAGGAGTCCTGACTCCTCGTCCTCCCCTTCTCTTCTAGATCTCCTTGGGCACAGTAGGCAAATCTCCTGCACCAGATGCTGAGCTCTTAAGGATAACATCTAAAGGTGACTTTTCATCTTTTTATCTAGGTGCGTGTCTCAGTTCTTGGGTGATGACAAAGATTCATTCCTTGACCAAACTCTACTCAGGCTCCCCTGAGTTTGTCAATTAGTCCTTGACTTTTAGACTTCCGTGTTCTTCTCTGCACTGTCTGATTTTAGCAAGAACTTTGCTAAGTTGGTTTAGCCAGAATCCCCCATCCTCCATAGATGATCACTCTCTATGTCTAATGTGATGTTGGATCACACTGGCCTGTCTTCGGCAAGAATCCTGTTAGATCAGTTTAGCCAGAATCCCCCTTACCGCTGTTTCCGCTTAGTAAATTTCTGTCCACTGACCCCCACCCTCTTCCTTGGCTATAAATTCCCACTTGCCCATACTACATTCAGAATTGAGCTCAGTTCTATACTGTGGTCTCTTTCCCCTATTGCAAAAGTCCTAACAAAATCTGTTTCCACCGCTTTACTATCCAGCTATGGTTATTTGGACAGTGGATAGATTTCTAAAAAATAATTTTGAATAAAGAGTGAATACTGTTAATAACCATAATAAACCATAATTATCAGGGCAGAGCCTGTGGCTTTCCTTGCTGGTGGGAGGCCCAAGGATCACAAATATCCTATCAAGAGGATCCTAAAACCAGGTTCACAATCCTGCCAGTTACCCTCTGCACTTCTTCACCAGGTTTTTCATTAAAATCTGTGGATGTTAATAAGATTATTAAAATTAAACAAGAACTGACCAAATGAAATCCAGATTCTAAGTCATTCTTTTTAAACCAAAGTTCAGTGGACACAGCTCTTTCTCTTTCTTTTTCTTCCTTCCTATTTTCCTTCCTTCCCTTCCTCTGCTTCCTTCCCTTCCTTCCTACACACCCTTATTCACGGCAAACTGTGCCTAGCCACCGTGCTGCTAATCATGTATTTATTGGTCAGCTCATCTTCTAAAGATCTATAGAACATTATCTTTTTTATCTTACTAAGAAACTTATTTTTTCTTACATCATTTAAATAAATATATTACATACCTTTTTTCTTAGCTTTGGCATAATGAAATGGAACCAGGAACTTTCTGACACCTTTTGACTTTTCACACTCTTTTTTCAAAACAGTTGAAGAATAGATGATACGAATGTGTTGGTTGATTTCTCTCTCTGGGGAACTCAAAAATTCTGGGTAATCATCAATCTGGAAAAAAGATTAATTGATCTCATTGAAGACAAATACAAGTGCTTACCTATTCTGACATAATAAATCCCCCAAAGCTAAGGGTAAGTTTAAAGTGTGTTCTTTTTTTTTTTTCATTTTCTCCACTAGGATATCTTTCCTCTTTTTGTTGTTAGGCGTCCCAATTCTTCCTCTGTTTGTTTTAGTCTTTACTAAAAATGTGCTCAGCAACAGAACCCAAGAAACTATTTACACTGTAGAATTGCCCAATAAATAGTAAGTGTTTTTATTTGTTAATATATATCCCTCCCCACTTCCATTTTAAAAATATATTTTTTTAAAAGGGTTAAATGAAGATTTTTCTATGCAGGAGACAATGTCCATTTACAGATTCTGTGAAGGCAAATATCTAGGTT